CGGCGGGGCTTAGAGAGAGTACGAGGAAGAAGCTGTCTGTCTCTAGGGTTTGTCCTGGCTTCAGACATTTATAAGGGGATAGGGAAATGATTGTGGACCATAGGATTATGATGAACGGACAGCTCAGATCAAATAGGGAAGGGAAACGACGCCGTTTGGATTTCTTGAAGATCCGGACCTGGTAAGTTGGATTGGGCTCGGGGCGCGGGAAGGAAGAAAAATGTTGGGCCCGGGAGAAATGAATTGGGCATGGCCCAAATCGTGGGCATCCCTTTCTCTATTTATTTTTATTTTCTTTTTCTTTTTTTTTCATTTGTTTCTTTTATCTATTTTTTGTATATTTTTTCTGATTTTGTAAAATTGCAACAATTAAAACTAAAGTCCTAATATCTCACTAATTGATTTCTAAAATTATTTTAAAAACTATTTCGGGACGAATTCACAATTAAACCATTAAAAATGCAAAAGTGAACTATTTTTGTTGTTTTCTTCATATTTTGTTCTAAAACAAATTAACCTCTAATTAATACTAAAAATATGGAATTAAATCCTAAACGCAAATGCATATTTTTGTATTTTTCATATGAATTAGAATGCACATATAAATGCGACAATTAGCAGAAAATGACACCAAAATTCACAAAGACTATAAAATAATAAAGAAATTGTTTTGTTTGAATTTCTGGGAATAATTTGCTTTGGGCAAAAATCACCTGCTCACATCAACTACTAACTGGAAGAATATAGTTTCATTACAGCTATGGTGATTATGTTGTACATAATCTGGCCAGGACACCGCCTTCGTAAAAAATATAATATGTTGTACATAATCTAGACTGGAAAGGAATAAAAGAATGCCCCCGCCTTTGCAGCAGCAATGACTGTGGATACTATCATAGAGGAAGGTTATTTGAACTATCTAATTCTAGTCAAATGAGAGACGAGTCCCTGCAAATAGCAAATACAGTGCAATTCCAAGAAAATTTTGCATGGTACTTCCATATTTGCTATGCAATTTATGCCCTATATTTAAAACAGTCTGCGTTTTACAAGTCAATGGCATTGCATCCTTGACACAAGACTTGTGATCTGAAATGGTAATTGAGCTCATTGCCCGTCAATTTTAGGCTTCCTGTGTTAAGGGCCCAAATTAGGGGGACAGTATGTCTATTTAGCAAAATCCCTCCACCCTGATTCCAGAAACAATTCCAGCACCATGAGGTATTCTAACAGTTGTAGTGCTATGGGATAGAGGGGAAGCAGGTTTTTGAGTCAAGGAGGGAAAGAGTGAAGACCATGAACTACTTAGGACAGTGGACAAGAGATTTTTATGAGAAATAACAATGGGGAGATGCAGCAACCGAGTGGATGGGGAAGGCATGTCAGCTTAGGAGAACCAAGGATACCACAAGAACAGTTAGGAAGTTGCAGTGTTGGGAAAGACGGAAGAAAAGGGTTAGAAGGGGGCTATACGAAGGCAGTAGGATTATGGAAAAGGGGGGTTTACATAGAGGATGCGATTAGCTGCATATGCCAGAGACTAAATTAAAACCTAGTACATTCATCGTGGGTAAAAGCTGCAGCTAAACTATTCTAACTGGATAAGATGGGACAATTATGATTCGGCATACATTGGGTGTATGTTATCCAATATCGCAGTGCATTGGTATAGCTATTGAAGATGTGATAAACAGAGGCTCTTATGGAACATCACACCCTCTTTCTCTCCTGAATGAACAAATATTAAAATTTGAGCTTACCACGCCTAAATGTTCATCTAACTACAAGTCTACTTGGACCGCATCTAGCAGTCATCTCATCCTTTGCCTAATTAACAAGCCAAGAGATTACTTGTTTGTATTGGTTCTTCTGGAAGCCAGGATGCGAGAAGGTGAAACGGCATGAAGAGCCAGATTGTAAAACATACAAGAATGTACAACTTTCAAGCATGCACCTCAAATTTCCTCTATAATAATGCTCAAGACCGTAAAAGAGTAAGATTAAAAAGTAAACTCGAGACAATAAATCACCAACCATATATACATTTAAGGGTTTAGGAGAGAATTTTAACTGTAAACCAAATTTTTGAGAAGGGAGGTCCGAACCTTGTTTTCAAAGCAAGCTTCCTCATTCTTATTCGCATCTGAGTCATTTTTGTTAATCTTTGTTTTGCCTTGTGGACAAGAAACTTTGGCCAGTACATCTGTGGTAGTTGAGAGAGAGGGAAGGAGGGAAGTTATTGCTTTGAAGAACAACAAGCATACAGCGGTAAGTGAAAAAAAAAAAAGTTTATTTCATTACCAAATGTTTATCAATGATTTCAAGAGCCTTTTCATAATTTCTTGGCAATTTAACTCTTTCCCAAAGTTTGTTTGGCATGTGAGCCCTTTCTATTGTTTTCATGTACAAATAGAACACTCCTGCATAGCACAAAAACAATTCAGAGGATCCAAAAGAAAATTCTAATTCCTCCTACAAAAATTCAGTAATTAATAAAAACTACAGAACCAGAAACAAGCAGTTTTGGAGAACCCTCCAATGAAACCAGACTGTAGATTCTTTAGACAGCTTACAATGAATATCAGAACATTTAGGATGACCATATTAGCTTATCCCATCAAGAAAAAGTTAAATGGGAAAATGAAAATCATATAAAAACAACTGGGCTCCCTACTTTTCAATTTTATAGCCCATATATTAATTTACAACCAACTAGCCCAAAAATAATAGGCTAAGATTCAATATCCAACTCCAATAGGTCCTCGAAATTACTATTCAATTTTTAAAAATGATTGCTCAAGCTTTTAAGTTAATTTTTGAATCAATAACTGTGACTCAAATATTAGTTCAACAAACCAAATCCATTTGGGTGGTCAAAATTAGATTTTTAATTAAATATGTGGATTTAAATTTCGAATTTGATTTTGTGAGAAATTTGGAGTAGGTGTTATTTAGACTTGTTAGAAATAGTATAAGTAGGTTGCATATAAATTTGAAGTCATTTAATGGAGATTTGGACTGGTTTTGAACAAAAATTGCAATCGAAAAATCGTGGAAGAAGTTGTGTTTATACACTCATATACACTATTATACAAGATTATACATAATTATACAAAAAACTGACTTCGTCTTCTTCCTTGCGTTTTTTCTGAAATTTAACTCAAAATTTGCTCAAATCTACTCCAAATCACTTCAAATTTAAATTTTGAATTCCTTTTGATATTTTCAGTCAATTGGAACAACACCCAATCCAAACAACAAATAAACTCAAAAAATTCTATTTTTGAAAGCGACGCTTTGAATGGCCTTCAATGGTGGACTTTTACTTTTCAGTTTTCTTATATTGCAACCAGGTGACACAGGGTCGCAATTTTCTTACAACATCAACAACTTAATTTTCAGTCAAGCTAATTAGATCTCACCAAAAATTTATGATTCCTCCTGCAGAAGTGAAAAGACAAGAATTACATGAAAAGGTGGTTGCTTGTGTTTCAGATCTAGACGAGTTTGTTTGCTGGCGACAATGGAATCGCTTTCAAAATATATACAACATAGGTTAGGTCAGGTAAAATTTAAAATTATGGGCCAAATTTTGTTATGATGTTGGGTCAACTGTATTTTCATGTAATTCTTTCAAGTTAAATTACCCTCATGATTCATAGCTTAAAACCCAGACGAAAATGATAAATCAATATAATCCAAGTATATGGTAATTCCCCCAAGTCAATTGGCCAGACAAAAGGGGTAAAACTTCACAACCAAAGAAACATCTTCAACTAGAACCTAGCATTTAACACTAGTATAAAATACTCTCTAGGAATGGAAGGGTACAAGTAACACAAACCAATAGGTAAAAATCCCTTTTTCTATTGCAGCAAAGTTATTCATTAATGATCATAAATAAAACAATTTTCCAATTGCAGCCAGCCAAACCATTGACTCATACATCTTGTATGCCCTAGGATCGCGATTACAACCATTTTCTTATATTTAAAAATGAAGGGAAAAAAAAAAAAAAGCTATAGCCTCTTGTATATCATTTCAAGAATGACAAGAATAAGCTGTGCATAAGTACCATCATGATCCCGAATGGTGGCATACCGACTATTAGCCAGAGGACATGAGCTACGATTGCAAATCCCAGTAACATTATATGGATTTCGACAAAATATCCGTCTCAATTCTGTCAATATTTCAAAAGAAAAAGATGAGAAACAAATGGTAAATGAAGTGAGAATCAAATTAAGAAAAAGATCTGACTTGGCCATGAAGCTGCAATGCTTGTGTCTGATAACTTGCCATATGACCTCATCGTGCTGCATCTTTTCTCACTCAACCCTAATTTAGAGACAATGAGTACGCACTCACTCTTTATAACTTAACTGCAGAAAGGTTTTGTAAGAAAATTGGTATATCATCACAACTTTGAGCTATAATATAACATGTAATGCAAATAAGAACATACATGAACATGTAAAAGAGACGCAAACACAGTTACTATTACAGTACATTTCAATAAAATTTTGTCTTACTATCAAGAATTACTGCAAGAGGATAAAAGGAAAAAAAGGACATACAGTTTGATTCAGAGAAAAAAGAGCAGAAGAGCGTAACTGCAGACGGAGGTGAGGGTTTTGGCTCCTCAAGAGTTAAAGCAGGGTTTTGGCAAGAATGTTAAGCTCTTCGAATTTGGGCTCCAGTTTTGGGTAAGTTTTTGCCTTACATGATTATTAACATTAACGACAACGAATTTTCTTTTTACTTTTCGTTAGGGCGGTCCAAAACCTAACCGTAATCGTTAATCGAACCGCAAAATTAGCTTATTGGCTTATTGATAATAGTTGGTGAACCTATTACAATTTTATAATTAACAACTTAACGATTTAAGGACGGATTACTCAATTTGTTTATCGGATAAACTGTTAACCCATTAAAATATTTATATTTATACTTTTACATCTATATATAATTGTATATAAAGTAATATTTGCTGGTCGGTCCAAGGTATATGGAATCCATCATGATCCGATAACAGATGCAGACCTTGATGTAGGATTGAATTTAAGTTAGTTGGGGCAGAGTAGTACTACTAGTCTGCTGCTTCTATATATACAAGTATATAATTTAAGCTAAAGGTGAAAAGGCTAAAGGTGGTGGATAATCTCGTTGCCCAAATAATATATCCACTCTATCTCTGAATGAATTTGATTTACAAAGACAAAGCAAAGACAAGAAATTTTAGCCTTACTCATTTAGTTAACTTTGAAGAGCGCCTTTATTGGGTTCAATTTCTATTTTCTAATCTTAGTCAATTAGTTTAGTTTTCAATACAATGGGCTTCATTTACTTCATCCAGAATCATTGCAATGATAAAGAAGATGTGATGCTTTACTCTAATTTTTTCCTTAATCGATAATCCGATAAATCGCTCGATAATCGCTAATCCAATACCAATCTACCCGATGTCTTATTGATTGGCTAGCGGATTATTATATTTATAAAATAATAACTGATAAGTCAAACTGTTAGCGTAAATATTCTTCCAATCTACCTAATCTACCCGATAAGCACCCCTACTTTTAGTGCAATAATGTGAGACACCCAAAAAATCCTATTCCCTCTCAATAAATTAAGCTTCTCGATTAATTTCCAATAACAATCTTTTCTAAAAAGTTGAAATGAAGCTAGAAAACCGCCCCACCATCATATTTGATATGTATATGCTTTTGTTTCGGTAATATGAAATATTATTTACTCAAAAATAGAAAAAAATTATTTTTAAAATTTCGTATATAAATAGTATTTTTCATTAAGAAACCCTTTATTCTCCCTTTTTTTTTTTTTGTGAAACAAAGCGGATATTATAATGGCCGCCAATAACAGTCTTTTGCTAAAATCAGTTTTTGAAAAATAAGATTTGGTATATTGTTGTTGGTATATGCTTTTAATAATAATAATATATTAATAGTATATATTTGATAAAATATACATATATGAATAAATTATGTCACATATACTACTTATATACATATAATGTATACACTCGACATTTAGAGTAATAAATCATATATATACTATCACGACCTAAACTCCCACGGGAGGTGTGACGGCACCTAACACTGCTTGTTAGGCAAGCCACAATTCCACAATAACAAGAAAACTCAAATAACAAAACCTGATCAAATAACATAACTTGATTATCTCAACAACGGTATTACCATAAATTATCTGAGAAAAACCAACAATAACACAACTATAACCATCTAAAAGATCTCATGTTAACGGGAACATGAGCATTACAGAATCTCAAAATACATAGCCAAATCCTCAGTACACACTATCTGAACGATAGAACAATGATAACATAAATAAATAAAAGAGAACTTAAAGGTCTATGAATGACACAACAACTACCTCGTAGTCTCCACAAGCTGGTACCAGTGCGACCTAGCAATCACCATACTTGGAAGTACCTGAATTTGCACATAAAGTGCAGAGTGTAGTAGGAGTACAATCGACCTCATGTACTCAATAAGTAACAAACCTAACCTCGAACTAAAAGCATTGTTTAGCTCGGAAGAAAGTCAGGGTCCAACACCAATTATCAATAACAATCTATAATATAATAAATACAGTAAAAGTAAATAACCCAAAAGATATCATGTTCAGCTCATTCGCAATTACATGAAAAAAAAAAGAGACATGATTTCTATGTATAACAGTCAAAGCCCAATCTTTCACCAAAATTTCTAAAATATGAGTTTATTGAGGAAACGATGATTTCCAATCTTTTAACAATAGATAAGATATTTCATTTACCAGCTAGCATAATGAAAAGACATCTCTATGCCTACATATCAAGTCAATAAAATCACAGTGAAATCATTAAGTGCACTAACTCTCGGCACACTCATGGTGCCTGGCACAAATTTCCCTCACCATCACACACATAACCACACTCAGTATTGTATGGGTGACTGGCACAAATGCTCATCACCAAAGTGCGCGCGCGCACACACACATACACACACACACACATACATACACACACACACACACACACACACACACACATACATACACACACACACACACACACACACACACACATATATATATATATACACAAGAGAGGTTGCTCTGATGGTAAGCAACCTCCACTTCCAACCAAGAGGTTGTGAGTTTGAGTCTCCCCAAAAGCAAGATGGGAAGTTCTTGGAGGGAAGGATGTCGGGGGTTTATTTGGAAACAGCCTCTCTACCCCAGGGTAGGAGTAAGGTCTGCGTACACACTACCCTCCCCAAACCCCACTAAGTGGGATTATACTGGGTTGTTGTTGTTGTTGTATNTTTTTGTATATATATATATATATATATATATATATATATATATATATATATATATATATATATATCAATGTGCCTGCACTCAGTGTAATATTAAACTCCATGGGGGCGAATCCTTGCCCAACAACTAACAAATAATCAATATAATTGTTACGATGTACAACCTGATCCAAAGATTAATCTGTTAGGATGTGCACCCCGATCTAATATAACTCACAACATGGCTCTATAGCGCACATCAGTCATCAAGCGCTCAAATCTCAATGGCTCACATTTCATAGAACTCAGCCCAAACTGTATCATATATAGAAGGAAACAACAACATGTGATATGACAAACAAGTAATATACGAAGTCTGAGATATAACATGCGGATGAAGAATCTGCCCAACCGCTACATCATCTTCACCTTCGTCAACTCTTCCACCAACAACTGCTAAATCATCTCCACCGGCAGCATCTGCCCGAGAAAAGGGTGTCCTTCTCCCCCGGTCCCCAGTTCACGGGAATTTGGGACAAAACTATGCTCTCCCTCAGAAGATCTACAAAGAAGGAGGAGTGTTACTCTCTTGATCTCCACCGGATGCAATTTGCTATGCTGGCCGATGGAACTTGCTAACTATCAGAAGCCTTTGTCTTCAGAGAAAGATTGGGAAAAGATACAAGATCTCTCGGGAGAGTATTTGTTGAACAATGCCATGCACAACGCCGCATCAGTAGATTTTTTACTTCCTTTGTTATTTCTTTTGTTTTTACATAAAAATATCGTGAGTTTGCCCTTATTATTTTGTAGGCCAACTTTCTTGCTTCGGAGGGCCTCCAAAGGTTGATTCGGGAAAAGGAAGAACTTACCTCCGCACGGGATCAACTTTTGGCCGAGAGGGAGCAAACTGTTGCTCACCTCTCAGAATTGGAAACCAAAGCTATTGAGGCCGTTGTATTAGAGACTCGTTTGCAGCAAAGAAAGCAAGAAGTGGTAACCCTTAGCCAAGAGATTGGCCCGTTGAGGGTTAAATTTGGCAAAGTCAGGGCCAAATGGGTTGAAGTCCATAATGTCGTTCTTGCTACAACCGACCGCGAAGCAGCCTCTGCTGAAAGATTGACCAACTTAGAGGCAAGCTTGATCTCCAAAACTGAAGAGCTTGATGCTGTGGGGTGAAACATGCGCAGTTGGAGAAGTATAGGAATACTATTGAGCATAATAGGCTCTTTAGCTCAATTGTCAATGACCTTGATGTTAGCCTCAGATCCGTTAGATCCGCCTAGGAAAACCTTTATGCCGAGTTAACCCAACTCAAGGAAGAACTTAAGCACCGAGCAGCTTCCCTCGTTGTTGAGAAAACTTATGTTATGTACAACATGAGGAGAAAAACCTTGGAAGAGGCCAAAGCGGGTATCATTGACTTTGATGCCGAAATCGCTAAGGCCCATGAGCTTGAGTTAGCTACTAAAAGGGGTCTCCTGGCAGAGCCTGATGTTTCCGATTCTTCCGATTCGGATTCTGAAACTTCGAGAACTGAAGAGGAAACGAAAAACGAAGATGGTGAAGGCTAAACTGATGAGGGCCAAAATGTTGAGCCATCGACAGATCTATGCACTTCCATTAGGAGCGCGGGCAGTTCTCTTCCTCCGGGTTTCGGAGACGCAACAATTTAACTTTTTTTTCTTTTTCCAACTTTTGTATCTGTGCCGCTTTAGCCAACTTTATGATTAGCATATCTGATTGGTGAGTTTTCTCGTGAATTGTGGAGAATGTGTGGGTAAATTGAGTAGAGGAGACTCTCCTAGTCCATCCCCATGCTGAGTAATTTGATCAGCTCCAGTCATAATTTGTTGCTAAAGACAAAGTATGTAAATGGAAAGTGAAAAGATTGTTAGATTTTTCAGTAATGGAACTAAGTTGTTTAACAAAAAAAAATCTTATTGCAGTCAAAGAAAATAAAAGAATATTTCGGGTTTATAATAACTAAATTTACTTCATTTTTCCTAATATAAAAGAATAATTAAAATGGAAAATAAGATAGAGAATAAGGAAATAGAAATCTTATTAATGATTGTTGTTTTCTTTCAATAGGAAAGAACAAGGTCTTCTAATGACAGAGAATAACAAGAATATTGCCAATTAATAGTATTTCCTTGTAGTTTTCTCGGGGGATACAAGATATAGAAAGAGGATTTATATAAGGGTACAATTGATAACCGCTTGCCCTATTTAATATCTGCATGTTACTAATATTTATTACATTAATTGCCTATTATGCGGGTGATTTGTAATGGTTAAAGTGGTAATTATCAATCGCGCATAATTTGGGATTCAACTGACTTCTTTCCATATTCGTGGTTATTAATGATCTTTTTATCTATGTGACTTCTAATATCCTTAATTTGTAACCTCATACCTATTTCCTCTTTTCCAACTAACATGCATACTATTTTTGTAGGCGATACCGTGGGTGTTACTCATATCTTCTCTGCACATCATTCTTCTTTACTGCTTCGACACCCATGCCACCTGTCAACATAACATTGGTCCATAAGGTGAATTTATTTTCTACCAATACAGAGCGCATGTATTTACAAACTTCGTAGAAGCTGTAGGCATATACATTTAAATAGCATAAGGTTTAAAAACTTGTAGGATAATTATAACTTATATATGTGCCTCATATTCTTGATCTATTTTCTCGGAGACTCTCTTTTCACAAAAGCTGTGGAGATACTAAACAGTTTTGGGAATAACCGAAATGATTGACTCGGAACTAATTGTAAAGGTTTCAATATTGTAAAAGAAAGGCTTGGCATATTCATAATTAATCCAGATTCATTGATTGACCGTTCCCAAAGAAATAAAAGAAGCAACTGTTTCCTAACAATTAGTCCTATTAGTTACTAATCAATCAGGAGAATGTTCACGCACCATTTTATTTGTTTGAACCAAACTTCTACAATTCGCTTACTAAATAATCTCTGCACCATTCTCCACTAAAAACTTTTAAAAGATTGTGTCCCTCCTAATTCTTTTTTTTTTCCCCACAAAAATTATGATCTCTTTCTTAAAAATTTATGGGTTTTTGATGCAGACATACACCATCTTAGTCAAAAGAGAATTCGAAACTTCTTTTGCTTTCTAATGAGAGCAGAAAAGATGAGGCAGTGGTGGGGCAGGTTAACCTTAAACCACTTTTTCTTTATCTTCATCAATCCATCTTCCTCCTCTCTCCTCTTTTTTTTCTTTCTATTTTTAATAATAAATATTTGCTTTATTGATTTGATATCTGAATTCTATCTTTTCCCTTCGAGTGCTACATGAATGGGTTGTGGAGTGGCTAACTCCATAATTTATGGAGACATTATTCCTCCAGATCTCATAGGACAAAAAGAAAGACAAAAAGTCCTTTTCTTTTCTTTTCCTTTTTATAAATCCTTTATTTTTAATTATATTAGTATAATATTTGGACCTTTCAATGTGTTTGAAAATAATGGACCCTTTCTTTTACAACTGTCATGGCCCCATGGTGATGACACCACCTTCTTTACTTCAATAAAGTTTTCAAAATTATTATAAAAATAACAAATATTTATTTCCCTCTAACTGCCACATCCAATAAATCCAATTAAGTTGAATTCATTTTGGAGTTTTTGGTCACCAAAGCTCTTTCTTCTTCACTCTCCCTCTCATAAACGAAAACCACCCGTTGCTACACTTGGCCAGGAATGTTTTTATCACCAAGCAACTAAATATCACCCTTTGCAATAAACTAAAGTAAGACAAAATACGAGGCTAAATATCATGATTCTTTCATAGGTTCTTCTTATTAGGAACAAAGTTTTGGTCCTCTCAATTTCAATGGAAGAACAAAGCCGCGAAAGTTGGTTGTCTAGGAAAAATGTTGGCCTTAAATTGAGATTATCCACAAGAAATTTTATATTGACCATTAGGATTAATGAATATATGCGCAATTTCTTATTTCTTGTGAAGGATCATAAGATATTGAAATTTATAATAAGGGTCTGCGACTGACTAATATTGCTCTATCAATTTCGGGCTATTATCTATTAAAATCCATAATAAGGGTGTTCAGTAAGGGAAATTATGTCTTAATTTAATTTCTAGTGAATTTCACATCAAACGAAGCACAAGTTGCACCATAAGATGATTGAAATACAGGGATTTCCGAAAATCAATGCTGATATATCCTAATATCTAAAATATAATTTTCGCATATTATAGGCAAATGATTTAGCAGTTACATGGAGTAGTTAATTATGTAAATATAACGAAGAATTTATAGATGTTACAATTATTTGTATCGAATTTGTAAAATGAACTTGGAGGAATACAGTTCAGATAATCACCTATGTGCGGCATTTAATATCGATCTTGAGGTCACTAGAAATTTCCCGTTAATTGCATTTCATCCTATACCTGCAATACACAAAACAAGATAGATACTTAATTAGCAAAAGAAACAAAAGGAAGAGACGATATATATCATAGTACAATATACAAACAAAGAGAAAATGAACAGATATACAAAATATTAATTAAAGAGGTAAAATTGATTACAGAAGGGAAGGAAATTAAATACGGGAATAAACAGTATCTAGTGGCGGATACAGCATACAACTACCGGGTTTAACTGAACCCAGTGCTTTCAATGCAGAACATAAATTTACGTGCAAAAAATTACAAAATTGCAATAAATAGTACATATGAACAGATAATTTTAAATGTTGAACCTATAGAACTAAAATCCTAGATCCATCTGACAGTATCAGCAGGTGTCAGACAAGTAAAGAAGAAGATAGAGAATCACACATGATGACTCCATCACTTCTAGGATTTGGCAATAGGAAAAATTGACCTCCTTTTTTTTTTTTTACGAATTATAAAATAATACTGAATTTTATGCCGAAATTATAGTCATATTATTGATAACCAATGTGCCCAAAAATTTGCACCATACACAGAGTACTATATATCAATGGTGAATTATCAAAAAATTGGGACTCATTTATATTTCAATTGAATTTGCTAAGAACGGATTGATACAAAAATATATACCAATCCTGTTAATCACATACACTCTTCTTACATCAAATATATTATATATTCGTCCATCCTCTATTTTCTTTTTTGATGGGGTTTTCTTTTTTCTTTTTCTTTATAAAAGTATATATATTCCGAGTAGTCCGATTTGCTCTCCCTTGTCCGTGGAAAGTAGTTGCTATTATTGCCAGTGGGGCCATGGTGAATCAAGTAAATATGGCCACTATTATTCCCATGACCACGGTAAGCATATTGAGGAACTTTTCCGGCAACTTTCTCGTGAAACATCACCGGTAATGATCTTGTTCTAGTATGACGGACGCACGAATATGATGTCTCTAAATATGATGTCTCTTTATATGATTTTGGACAATTTTGATATTTTGATGAGTTGATGGTAGTAGAAGGACTAGCAGATGTGGAAGAAAATGATGAGTCTGGTGACGTGGCATCATGATTGCTAATGGTGGTGTTGGTGGATGAGGTGGAAGAAATGGAAGGTGGAGGAGATACAAGTTTTAGTTTTGTAGATTTAGGTGGTAACAAAAAAGCTCTGATCTTGAGAGTTGAAGCATGATCATATTCTTCAATGAGATTGGCTAGATCTTCATCACATGTGATAGACACAAGAGCATCTAAATCTTCATTTGGCAATTGACACCTTAAACTCACTGATGCTCCACACATCTCCCCTAGCTTCACCATTAGCTCTGTAAACAACAATAACATCAATATTTATTTCCATTTTTCCGCAAAAATATGAAATTTAATAAAAGAATAAAAAAAATTATACAATTCGTATTTGAGTTCATATATAGTCTAAAAACATAAACATTTTTTAACACATGTAAAAGGTACTCTTAATAAGAACTTTTATTTTTAAAAAAGTTATGATATTTTTACACAAACAACATGTTAATAAGAATACAATAGGGGCTATATTGTTAAGATCAGTCTCATAGTCTCATACTGTAATAACACTTCTTAATTTCCTGCTTAATAATAAACTTTTTTAATTAGCAAAAAAAAAAAGGATACAATAAAAGTTTTATAAAAAAATTAGAATATAAAATATGTTATTTAAAAAAAAAATAGAAAAGCATCATATAAAATAAAACAGAGAAAGTGAATTTTTTATAAACAACATAAATAGCTTTTCATCATCAGGAACAGAATAATAAATTACCTGCAAAAGAAATGCAACGATGAACGGAGAGGACACGAGTTTCACCACCATAGTAACGGAGTTTGCCATCGGTGTGACGGGGGATAATCTTGCCACCATAACTACAAAGGAATTTAAGAGGAACGTTACGGGAGTTAATGGATGGACCAACCATACTATTTGGAATGGGTCCTCTGGTTGTGTCTTTAGATAATTTGGAAGAGACTAGAGAGGTATGAAAATGGCTTTGAAGAAGCTCTTTTGTCGATTGCTCTTCAAGCCTATGTAAGGATCCCTTTACTACTTATTTATAGAGTTGGCTTGGCCCGATAGAATTGGACTCGGGTTGTGTTGGGTCGGGTCGGGTAGGGTGAGAAAAAACAGAAAACGACCATTTTGAACACGTCACCTAAGATTCCCATACAGGTGGGCCCCGCCTGACTTCTGAGTTCTTTTTTCTTTTTCTTTCTTTCCAACAAGTGTGTCCAGAACAGCTGAATTGTCATCACAATTAATAGCATGAGCACCTTGGCTACTAGATTACGTACTTGTGTTCCACATACTCTACAGTTTACTTTAGATATCCTAATTACAACTGTTATAGCAATTTACAAGTTATTATAGAACATCTTAACCTAATGATATATGATAGACTTTCAGTATGAAGAGGATAGGTCACGTACATTAATGGAATATATTGTTGATATTTAAACACATACATGGAGCTAACGCAACGAAATATTAACAGAAACGTACCTTTAGCCATTGTTGTTCAAGCAGAGAATCGTCTTTGAAACCACTAGTAGAAAACCTAGTCTTCTAGCATGTGCCTATCGTAGGATGGAGTCACAGGTTATAGGTAGGCTAGGGACTCTTAGGCAAATACTTCAGCCCTAGGGACTTCTCCAGAAATTATAATTACCCTAGGGACTCCTAATATATGGTAATTTCTTTCCATAAAAAAAAACTACATATATGCATAACCATAGAATATTATCTGATATGTTATTTCCTTTGGGAGACAAAGTAAATAATTTTAGAAGAGACGGTAAATTTCTAACATTCTCCCTCTTGGCCCACATATCAAAATCAGATAATCCTTTATGAGAGATAAATATATAATATGACCATAGACTTTATCACTCAACTAAAAGTTATGGAACAATCACTTTAATTAGAACATATTATTACACGAATTATGGCGGTCATGCCTTTAAACAAACACTTCCTTCCATGTATTACTATGCACAATACATTCTAACAAAGTGTCAAACAACTTTATGAATGAACTTAATATAAGTCATTCGAGTCCAACTTTATTGATCCAATGATCACAAAATAATACATGAAAACCAAAGTGTGCACTGTCATGTATATCAAAATAAACATAATGTCTAGACAAACTGTTGGAGAACAAAGCAAGGCTAAATTGAGCTACTTAGACCCATATGGGTTACGTGATCCTTGAAAATATTAGCCGGTAGACCTTTAGTCATAGAATCAGCTATCATCAAAGTAGTACTAACATGCTCAAGACTCACATCTTGCTTCTTCACATAGTCTCTAACCATCAAGTATTCTATGTCGATGTGTTTGCTTCGGCTTCCACTTTTATTATTCTTAGAAAAGAACACTGCAGCTGAATTGTCACATAATATTCTCAATGGCCTTGAAATGGAATCGACAATCCTAAGGCCGGAAATAAAGTTTTTCAATCATAACACCTGTGATGTAGCTTAATAGTATGCTATAAATTCACCTTCCATTGTGGATGTTGCAACAATGGTTTGATTGACACTTCTCCAAGATACGGCACCTCCAGCAAGAAGGAAAATATATCCTGAAGTAGATTTACTAGTGTCTTTGCGTCCACCCAAATCAGAGTCTGAATATCCAATCACCTCCAATGAGTCAGAGTATCTGTATGTGAGCTTAAAATCATTGGTTCCTTGCAAATATCTCAAAACCCTTTTACCAGCTTTTGAATGGTCAAGACCAAGGTTACTTTGATATCTACCAAGCATTCCTACCGCAAAAGCAATATCAGATCTAGTACAGACTTGTGAATACATAAGGCTCACAACAAGCGAAACATAGGGAATATCTTTCATTTGCTCTTTTTCTAATGCATTTTGTGGACATTGATTCAATGAGAATTTATCACCTTTAATTATAGGTGCTGCTATAGGTGAACAGTTCTTCATCCCGAATCTTTTCAGAATTCTTTAAATGTAGGCCTTTTGAGACAGTCCAAGTAATCTTCGGGATCTGTCTCTGTGAATCTCTATGTCAATGACATAAGAGGCTTCACCCATATCCTTCATCTCAAAATTCTAGATGAGGAATTGTTTAGTCTCGTGCAACAATCCCAAATCACTACTTGCAAGTAAAATGCCATCCACATATAGGACTAGGAAAATATATTTGCTCCCACTTATCTTAAGGTATATACACTGATCAATGGTGTTCTCCGTAAGCCCAAATGAAGAAACAACATTATGAAATTTAATATACCATTGGCGGGAAGCTTGCTTTAGCTTATAAATAGATTTATTCAACTTGCAAACAAGGTGACTTTTGTCCTTATCACAAAATTCTTCAGGCTGACGCATGTATACCTCATCTTCAAGATCTCCATTTAGAAAAGTTGTTTTCACATCCATTTGATGTAACTCTAAATCAAAATGAGCTACTAATGCCATGATTATTCTCAATGAATCCTTCTTTGATACCGGAGAGAAGGTTTCATGGTAATCAATGCCTTCCCTTTGAGTAAAACCCTTAGCTACAAGCCTAGCTTTATATCGTTCGATATTACCACATGAATCTCTTTTAGTTTTAAAGATCCATTTGGAACCTATAGTAGATGATCCTTTTGGTAATTCGACGAGATCCCAGACTTTAATTTTAGCCATACATTCTAAATCTTCTTTCATGGCATCATACCAAAGTGTGGAGTTTTCTCCACTCATGGCTTGTGAAAACGAGCATGGATCATCTTTTAGTCCAATATCATAATCAGACTCTTGGAGATATATTACATAGTCACTAGAAATTGCTGATTTTCGAACTCGTGAAGATTTTCTTACTCCCACTGGTTCATACACTTCTTCAGTGGGTTCAGGTAAAATGGGTTGATCTTCATGTGGTTCTTCAAGTGGTGGTGGATCTTGAACTTGTTCTTGTTTAGATAATTTATGAGAATTTTTCTGAGCAACATTCAAGTTCCCAATGTATAAAAGTACCACAGGTGGTTCCCTTATTTCTTTCAATTCCACCCTTTGAGTCAAACCACTCCCACTTTCTTCATGTTCCTCAAGAAATTTAGCATTTCTAGCCTCAACAATTTTAGGAAAATGAGAAGGACAATAAAACTTAAATCCCTTAGAGTTAACTGCATAGCCTATAAAATAACCACTTATTGTTCTTTCATCTAACTTCTTTAGTTGTGGGTTATAAACCTCCCTTCAGTTGGACATCCCCAAACATATAAATAATTTAAACTAGGTTTCCATCCTTTCCATAACTCAAAAGGTGTCTTGAGAACAACCTTGGATGGAACCCTATTTAAAATATACACGGCGGTTTTTAAGGCTTCACTCCATAAGGATAAAGGTAAACTTGATATGCTAATCATGCTTCTTACCATATCTATTAATGTCTGGTTCCTTCTTCTGCCACACCATTTTTGTTGTGGTGTTCCTGGCATGGTATATTGGGCAATTATCCCTTCACTTTCAAGGAACTCAGCAAATGGACCCTTAACTTGTCCCTTTTCTATGTATCTACCATAATATTCTCCACCCCTATCAGATCTTACAATTTTTATCTGAGCACCAGTTTGTTTCTCTACTTCTATTTTGTAAACTTCAAAAGCATCGAGTGCTTCTGATTTGTTAAACAGAAAATAGAGATACATATTTCTAGAATAGTCATCAATAAATGAGATAAAATACCTCTCACCATTCAAGAAAGGGGTAGGAAAAGGTCCACATATGTCTGTATGTATAATCTCAAGCAATTGAGAACTCCTTTTGGCACATTTAGTTGATTTGTTGGTCTGCTTATCCTTTATGCAGTCCACACAAGTCGCGAAGTCAGAAAAATCAAGAGCTTTTAAAACTCTATCATTAACCAATCTTTTGACTCTATCAATAGATACGTGTCCCAATCTCTTGTTCCAAAGACTTGATGAGTTCTCATTGATAATATATCGCTTAATGCCAATTTCTTTGTCATGCAAAGTTAAAACATTGCATTCAAATGTGGGGTCTAGCTCAAGTTTATATAAATTTTCATTCAAATTCCAAAACCAATAACTTTATTATCTTTCAAAAGTTTCATAGAAGGATAATGAAAATTCAAATCATATCCACTAATCGATAGTCTTGAAAGAGAAATTAAATTTCTAGAATATTTTGGAACATAAAAGGTATTTTCTAAATCTAAGTGAAAATCATCCTTTAAAATGAGCCTAAGTCCCCCTGCCTTACACACTTGAATGTGTCTTATTTTCAGAATAAACGTATTGTTCATTTTCTATCGGCTTCCTCTGAGTTAGAAAAGCCTGCATGATTTTGGCAATGTGAATTGTAGCATCAGAATTAATCCACCATGTATTATCAGAAACTTGAATAAAATTAGATTCATAACATACAAAGGTAAAATTAACTTTCTTCTCAAGTCATTTCTTGTATTTCAGGCAATCCTTCTTCCAGTGTCCATTCTTCTTACAGAAATGGCAAGCATCTTTGTCAAAGATGTTTTTCTTCTTCATGGGAACACTTTTGCCCTTCTTTGCATTTCTCTTATCATGAGTCACCATATTAACACTTTCAGGTGTCTCATGCTTCAACCTCTCTTCTTCTTGAACACACATGTTCAAAAGTTCATTGATTTACCGTTTATACTTATGTGTGTTGTAAGAAATCTTGAACGGACCATATTCAGCAGGAAGTGAGTTGAGAATGAAAAGCACAAGAAATGGTTTAGACATATCAACCTCAAGGGACTTGAGTTTAGCAGCAATGTCTCTCATCTCCATAATGTGCTCACGCACTGTACGACTTCTGTCAAAAGCCATACTTGAGAGCCTCTTCATAAGGGTGCTGGCCAATGCCTTGTTAGAACTTACGAATTGTTCATCAATTGCCTTCATGTAAGCTTTGACCTTATTGCTATTAGGGATAGAATCTCTAATGCTTTGGCTTATGTGGGATTTTATGAGCATTAAACTTAAGCGATTAGATTGCTTCCACCGCTCATAATTAGCCTTAG